TCATTTCCATTTCTAACAATGGCCAAGAAACTCCCAGAGGGAGAAGGTAACTTACTGTTTCAGATTCGTCGTGTTTAACCCAGCAGATCAGCCCCCTGTTCTACTATGCAGTTCTTAAACATACAGATGGGTTTTATTTTCTGAAATCATGAAGTTTAAAAGGTTTACATGCCTGCGTATTGGCTATTGATTGTTTTGAAAGAACGGTGCTGAATCATAGTGCAAATGGCCCATGCAATTTAGTCTACTGGACCCTCCCTCCCACACCATCACTGATGCTGGCTTTTGAATTCTACCCTGATATTGAGCCAGATGGTCCCCCTCCTCTTTAACCCAGAAGATGGCGCGTCAGAGAGAGAGAGAGAGAGAGAGAGAGAGAGAGAGAGAGAAAAAAGAGAAAGCACGTTTGATATTGACTTGTTTGCTTTGCCTTAATCTTTACATACTTGTTGTTCATATTCTGTGCAAAGCAAACACCTAATATGCAAAGTGGATGAGTTCTGTGTTCACTCATGGTGCTCCTGAGTCCATGTGGTGATTTCCACTACAGAACTGGGTCTATTTTTAATGCAGTGATGTCAAAGGCCTGCAGCTTACATTCATTAACTGTTTCCTTCTTGTCATCTATGCAAGACCACAGCAAGGAATGCGTATTTCTCTAAAAACCCTGTGACTCTCCATCCATTTCACTTGCAAATAACTGGGATTTCCTATTCATTAGCAACATTTAAATGCTGCCTTGCTGTTCCTACTTTTCTATTGTCAGGCATTTTCTTTAAATCATCAGCAAACTCTGGTGGCTACCACGACACAATCTATGAACGCTGGTTCAATACCAAGTGGTCCCTCGGTCAGGAGCACGCATTTCTGTGCTGAGGCTGTGTCCAATCGATTCTCCTGCTGGTTGCCCTCAATCGGTCATCTGACGGAGCACAAGTCACGGCTCTCATATACTGTTAAACTCAGCTGGCCTCTCCGGTGAGTATAGGGAAGAAGAGATGCCAGTGGGGGTTGGACATTGTTGGAGGGGGCATGGCCAGACCTAAGCACCCGGTGAGAAGAGATGGCCAGGTCTCCGTTAGCTTCCCGCTGCCTGCTTGTTGTGTTCCATGTGATGACATCAATTCCCAGACCAGATCCAGGAGAGTTTGCGTTCAGGAGGAAACAGCTGCCCCAGCATTCTCCAGATTGCGAATTACCGCTCTAAATCCAGGCTTATAACCCACTCCCAAACCGAAATGGGAACATTTCATTTGTTAGCATTGGAGATTAATTTATTTTCGCCTTATTGTGATCTAACTAGTTATGCATGAAACGGCTGCTGCTGATAAGAGAAAACAATCTGTAAGTGTTGTATGGACAGATTGGTATGCAACACAGATAAAATGATTCATCACACATTACATTTAAGATGATTGATATGGGAATCCCCGTGGACTGGCATCCTCTGCTGGCTGAATAGACCGGCTTCTGTAGGAGAGGAAATTGCAACATATCTGTCAAGTACTGCTTTTGTCACAACAGGCAGAAAACAACAATGCATCACTCCGGCAGAAATCCTTTCATATCGCGCATCCTGCCCTTTGTGACACAGCGGTGTTTGATCTTGAAATGCTGTTCTTTTCTATTACCATCTATAAGAGGCTAGTAGGAGAGCTCATAATGACTGGATAGTTCATTCGGGCTTGAAGAAATTAAAGTAATATCAAAATTATAAAGTCCATTTCCATTAAACAAAACCATCATAGAGGACAGCGGGGGTAATGGCTGCTCATACTCCAGCGGCCTCATCTCTCCAATCTCTCTTCCCGGGCTGCCTGCTGCTCTTATCTTGGTTTGCACATCCTTTCCTGGACAATTTCGGCTCACAGTTGCGGCTCAAAGCTTGAAATTTTGCTCAACAATGTGACTCCTGCTGCCGCCGCCGCTGCTGCCGGCAATTCCGTTGCCTCATGCCCTGAGAGCTGCTTTGTAATATGCCGAGTGAACATCCAAATCGCCCCGTAGTTTGAGGACGACTGCAGAAAATGACTGGGACGAGGGAACAAATGGTGTCTGACGTTATCTGGACTCACACAGCTGAGAGAGGAGGTTCTACCGGGGAGGGGGGTCATTTGTCTTCCTTGTCATCTCCTTACTGGAGCTCAAAATATTGTTTCCAGCTTTCAATAACCAACACACTCCCCAGCAGCTTTGATTGATGCACGAGACGTCACTATGGCAACAAGCATGTGAGTACATTAAGTGAATTTGGCAAAAGAGTATCTCCTTCAGGGTTATTAGGACCACCTGAGGGGCTGTGTGAGTGTTTGCCTCTGTGTGTACAAATGGACCGAGGGACTGGCTGTTCTTGGCTGGCCGCTCGGCCTGCTGCCGCCGCCCACTCCAAGGGTTAATCAGGTTAGGAAGTATCACCATAGAGCAGCCTGACAAGAACCCACTCTGTGCCCGCAGGCGCAGATCTGAACCGGCATTAGCGGCCGGCTCCCACTGTTGGCTGCTGGAGCTTATACTGGATGACACATTTCGACAGGTGAGCGATGGCGAACGCTGCGAGATATCGAAAGAGCAAAAGTGAGGGAATCCCACAGGGAGAAAAATTTACTGAGTGTTTGCCAACAGCAAGCGATTAAATGCAATTAGGTCTCACCAGGATACAAAATAGCTCAAATGTTTGGCAACGGGTCATTTCCACTGAGTCCCCGTAATGGAAAGAGCTGTCACATTGTGAGGCCAGCCCCTTCATTCTCACAGCGCACGGCGCTCACTTTTTTTCTTTTTCTTTTCACCCAAAAACCATAAATACTAGCTCTTTGACTTCAATGCTTAAAAAGCCAGTTGTCTGCAGAGGCCACAAATGCCGCCTTTGTATGCCTCCTCCAATGGAGCCACATCTCCCTCTCCTGGTTATAGGACAAAATGCAGGTTTGGGCATTTCCTGAATGCAGCTTTGATCTTGCTCTAATAAAGCAAACACTGGGGTGACGTCACAGGCAAATATTTATGGCTAGTACTTAATGATCAAGTTAAAAAAAACACAAAAAACCCCGGAAACTACTACAAAAATATAGCCGATAAATTATTTCTATATAACTGCAGCTGATGTTAGAATGTTTCTTGTTAAACTGCTTAAAACCCCAACTGAGACTTCAAACTTATCCTCAAAGATCTGCCTGTTTCTGCTTTTGTTCCTCTTTGAGTTATAAAGTAAAAATGGCTTATGCTTTGACGGATGCGTCAGTGGAAAAGAGGTGTTCCGTAAGGTATTTAAAGACTTCCTCATCCTTTGTGCCCTGCACCCCCCCCCCTACTTTGAGAAGTTTGAAGGCTGCAGAAAAACCAGCACAAGTTTATTTGATGGTGAAAAATGATATGTTTGGAAATCATCTATCATCAGCTTATGTTTCCCACCGCAGCGTTCAGTGTGTCGGTGGTGCAGCCCACACAATGAGTGCCTGTGGCATTAAGTAAAGAGAGCATTTAAAAACAAAAAGCCCACCAAAGCTGAAAAAAATCACTTTGCAATTGTTCTCAAGTGTGTGTTTGTTTCCCAGCTCATGCATTTTGACTTCACTTCAACAGCAAATATGTTTCGGGTGCTGTGGATCAAACAAAAGAGCCTTGATGGAACAGGATGAGTTGTGCAGAGGAGAGCTTTGAAACGCCCAAGACATAAAACAAATGTGCTTATCTGTCAGAAGCCGCCAGAGCACATTGTTTTATGCTTCGGTCTAAAATAACTAAAAGCAGTGAGGGACAAGTTCTGCTGACCAAGGAGGTCAATTAAAAGCAGCCGAGGTAAAAACGTGCCAGCAGGAGGCCACAGACGGAGTGAGTCAACCCAGGAGGAAAAGTTTCTCCCACACTGCAGACACTCATCCAACCAAATTTTGTACGGACCTGCCGAATGTCTAGAGCTCATTCTATATCAACACACACTGTCCATGTAAAAGCTTTCGGCCTGGTTCGCCAATCAGCCAGGAACAGCCAATATGGAAACGTGTGACGGCTCAGAAATGTGTTATATTTTGCCAAATAGCTACAACTGTCTCTCTGTGAGCGGCTGCCTGTTTGCTCATGCTGGCACGGCCTTCTGGCGCCAGTGGACTAGAACGATGTGTTTCACAAAGATTGCCATGCAGGGAAATGAAACTTTTAGTATAATAAATGCTGAATTTTAATACACAGAGTGCATTCAACTGCCTCGATTTATTTATTTATTTTTCATTTTTCTATAGGAATACCTCCACTGTTGGCTTATTTCTTAATGTGTAAATATTGTTAGGCTTTCTAAGTAACTGCTACAAATGCTGCTTTCCATTGTTGTAAATGATGCATCATAATGACGAAAGCATATCAAAGCTATATAAGACATATTCACAATTGAATAGATTAATAAGCTAAAGTTAATTTTCATTGTTGTTAGACAAGAATTAGCACCGTTTGGACTTCAAATTATGAAAAACAAAACAAAAAAAACATCCCCAAGACAGAGCGAGTTGGACACAGTGATCATTTCAGGGTGAAAGTGCCAGACTTAATTTTGAATGAGTTTCAGTGAGACAGTATGTGGGGCTGAAATAGTGTAATCAGCCAGATTGGACGCAGATTCCTCAGAAAAATTCCGCAGAGGGGTGAAATTTCCTGAAACCCAGCTGTTTTTTGAAGGTGTTGCCGTAATCAAGCGCTGATTTGTTTGTCCTGTTTACACACAATCAAACCTCTCAGTGCCTGTTATTCAAGGTGGAAACAAATATCCAAATAGAGGGCGGCATCACAGCGGGAAAAACAGCAAACAGAAACAAAGAGCACAGTAATGATTTTAATATTGGCCTTTACAAAAGTATAGTACAGAGTTTCTGAGCATTCGTTCAGACCTTAAAAACAAAAACAAACAAAAACAAAAAAAAATTAGCTTGGTTAGCATACAGACAAGCGGAGTGGATCCTCCAGTTTGTAGCCCATAACACATATCTCAGTTTCCTTCCACACACATTCACACACACACACACACACACACTTATACACACCCATAAGCATATGTATACTGTATATATTATTAGGCAGCTGATATTCCTTTACAGTTCCTATTCCTTTCTGATTAAAGGTTTATCTCTTTGCGAGTGGGTCGGGAACATCTGCATCCTTGCTGCACTGCAGTGGGACACTTTGAGTTGAGCAGGAACTTTGCTGTCCGACTTGGCTTCTTTGGTTGCAGCTGGGTAAAAGGCCCATCTGGTGTGGCTTTCAGAGGAGATGAGCACCCTTGGTTCCTTTTTACAAAAAAAAGTCAACGTCTAAACTTTCAACTTCAGTTACTTTTCTTACGACAAATCCTGTACTTTCCTGAACACATGCGTTCAGTGTCCATTTCATGTTGCAACTAGGTCATAATAGTCATTTCAATTTCATGCCTGGAGATTCTCCTCACATCCTCAATCATGTGTCTCTTCACCCCTTTGATATTCGGCCAACACCATCTGGCTACATCCGAAAATAAAGTAGGTCCCTGAATATGCAACAAGGGGAATATTAGTGTCATTAAATGTTGTAATATTTTCGCACCGGTCCCTTTTTGTGCCCCCCTTAAAACAAAGAAATGACGGATATATAATTTGGTGTGCATAGTTATTCATAAAGTGCAAATAGTGTATTTGGTTAAAAAATGATCATTAAGATGCAATCTCCCTTGTTTGTCCATAAATTGATTCTGATACTTGATATATATGCCCATCTTCCAGTTTGCTCCTCTGTAACAAATCTGTGGAGAATCAAACAGGATTCTTCCTCTTGAATTCTGTCCCATCCAAGCTGCGTGGGTGTAGTTCCTCAGCCCTCCCCGGTGGGGGGCAGTGTTTCAAAAGAGCATCTACTTTTCGTCCACCACGATGATTTCCTCTGGGATCTTCTCCTCCGAGTCGGAGCAGTCTGACAGCTTGTCCAGGTAGTCCATGTCGTTGAAGCGCTCGGCCACGCACTGGGCAGTGAGGCGGGCCTCGGGGTCGTGGTCCCAGCACTCCTCTATGGAGGCGCAGATCGTCTGGATCCCCTGCAAAGGGACCAGAGCCACGGTGAGTCACACAGACACAGTCCGGGCACGTGTGCATCACCACCTCAAGCTGAAACTACACAAGTAATTACAGGCTTCTCTCTGCCGGCGGCCGTTTGCAGCTCCGAATCGGGAGGTTTTATTGACCAAAAGGGGGTGTGGCTGTGACCGGATGATGCAGCGTGAGAACAAATATTGAGACAGATGCAAACAGGTACAGACTGTGTGATTACCTAATAAATATTAATCCTCAGAGGGAATGTTCCCATGAGAAAAAGAGGGATTTTTTTTTCCAACTTTTATTAATGGAGGATTTTTTTTCTGGAGGCCTTTGGGCACCAGAGGAAAATGGGAAACATATGTCTGTACATCTTTATCAGGACTGAATGTAGACATGCTTTAAAAGGAAGTGGCAGATATTTAAAGTTACGAGTCACAAAAATAAATATAGACGGAACATGAACAGAGACATCACCAACTTTTGTTCGTTTTTCCACAACTGATGTAAAACACAATAGTGTGTGTGCAGTTGCGACTTTCTTTGAACTGTTTTCACCTACATTCATGTACACTGCAAATAATCAATTCATGTTCCCCACAAAAAAGCTGTAAAATTTGTCAGATAAAAGGGTTCAAAACAGGCAAGAGCCACTGATTCTAATATTTTAAGTAATCTATTTAAAAACTCACCATTAAGATGTGTACAGATATACTGGAAACAGTTAAGTATCAAATATGGTTCTGGTACATATTCTACTGTCTACTGTAAGATGAGGATGTGAGCAGTAGCCAGCTCTGTCTGGTAAAAAAATAACCTGGCAGTATCACATGTCTTTAGGACCCTACTGTTCATGTATCATATGGAACGCCTGACTAACAACAGAGTGGACTGAGAACACAGAATTAGAGTTCCCTCATAGGGAGGCAGAGCAAAATGTGAATGAAAACAGAATGAATTAATTTAGATGAAACATTAACAAGAAAATTATTCAAATATTAAGAAATCTTAATTAAAAGTAAAAACGTGTTGCATTGGGAACAGTTTTTGGTCCCACATGAATTAAGGTTGTGAATTGATTTCAATCTGCAGAATCACTTATTTATTTGTTCACTTTTTAAAACATGCACAATGTCAAGGCTTTTTTAAAAAAAAAAAAAGCTTTTTATGACTAATTTTGTTGTTTGGTTTTTGTTTATTAATAACCAAACTGGATTTTTGCTGCCACAATGACAACAAAGAAGAGAAAAGTCTGACAGAGGCAGGGTTGCTTCAAAGAGTGAGACTCTTTCATTAGAGTTTTTCAAAATTGAAAATTAAAAAGCTGCACGGCAGAGAGAAGTGAACTAAAACTTGCTCGGTCATGCCTTTTTCTTTTGGAACAGCTATTCCTAACATGACCAACTGAGACAGACGTCCTGAATGTCCTCGGCTGGCCGTCTGACGGTGTGCGCCGTTACCTCACCGAACCCGTTCCCTCCAAACCTCTCCTCACCCCTCTTCCACTCGGGCTGCATCCCAGCACCACGAACATTTAGGAGGTTCACACACCGCTTTAAAAACTTGACATTCAACTTGGCTCTTTGCGCGTGATCTCGTGTTTCACGTTCCATCCGAAGAATGAAATGTGGGCTTTGCGGCGGCGTGTGGTGTGTGTGGCGGCTCTTACTGTGTGACTGGTCCAGCTGTTGGGGATTTCAGGCCTCCCTCGGTCTCGGAGAACGCTGTCCTTCATGCTTTCCACACAAGGGTGTTCCCTCAGGTTCCCAAACGGGGGCTCGTACTCTTTCACCTCTGTCGGGAAGCGCAAAAAAAAAAAAACAAGATTAGTTTGTGGCCCTTTAAAAGTGAGGAGTTTGGGCTTTTTTATGGTCGCCAAGGAGCTTTGAATCAAACGGCAACCAGTGACAGATACAGCTCTGTGGAGCGCGGAGGCAGGAGTCCAAAGGCTGCGCCCCACAGCGCACACATCAACAACACCTCTCAAAGGAGTCACTGTGCGCTCTAAATCAAAACAGCTAGCTTGAAAACTTTAAATAGCTCTGAAGCTGCGCAAACAGCTGATGAATCCTGTGCTGTTGATAGCGTGGCCAGAGGCCAGATTCGCTGTGGAGAAACATATCGTCGCCCTTTTATTCTCAGTGCCCACGTGATCTCAAGCATCTCACAAGCACAGGGTGTTTTTTTTTTTTTAGCTTTGTGCTTTTGCTCGCACGGCGACATCAAGAATGCGTCTTAAGATGTGCATTTTTTCAGTCTAGTTAAGGGAATGGCGCAAACTAATGTGTAGTGAGTAAAAAGCAGAACTGGTGCCCAGTTCCTGGTTGAATGGGCTGAGGGCGAAGCGCCACACTCCGGTCAGCAGCCACATTATTACGCTGCTTTACAAGCCGTCATTCAGGCCGGCTGCTGACCCGAGGCCAGCGTCACTCCTTTGTGACATTTGGCGACACGGCCTCCAATTAGCTTGACGCAGAGCTATCGATTTATGGGGTGTTTTTCAAACCCAACGCAGCAGAAAATGAACACATGCAGGCCAAAGAATGCAAACGGGCCCAGTTACAACAGGGAATGCCTCCAGAAATGAGCTGCTGCTGCTGGTGGCTTCTCACCGCCAAAATAAAAACATATCCTTATTCTAGATTTGAACAAATATCTCAGCACCATCCAGCATTATTGGTTCAAACAATTGCACTAAAATACAAGTTATGGTTTGTGTATCCTCGTCACGCCCATTAACTTGGCTTCTGCGCCCTATAATCACTTGGAATTCATACTGAAATATTTAGAAGTGAGATAATGAAATATCAAACAATGCATACATTGTTGTAGTCTGACAAAGAGAAGCCTGCTTGGGATTTCTCCTCCCTCACAGTGCAGTTCTGCCCCCGCTTTGCCCTCATATTTGTTGGATACAGGCTTATTTCCAATTCAAATTTACGGATATAAATTATGTTTCGCCATTCTGGTCATGTTGCCTCATACTACTGGAACCCTTGTTCTGACCCAGAGAGAAGGATCTTCTGTCCTCTCCGACAACACAAGAATGCAATATAGAAAAAAAGAAAAAAAAGAGGAGGGGGACCACTGAATTCTTTCACAAAACCTCAAACCATCAGCTCGACAGCTGACCTCTGGGTGTAACTCAGTTTCAACACATACACTCCTCAGCGAACTTCTGTGAAGAGTTTGGCATTTCAGCTTAGACATGGCAGCACCAGCCGTCAGTCCGTTAACACGCTGATGCCCTTTTGACGAGTCCAGAGAGTGAGTTTCTAGAGATCAAATCTGCCTTTGTAAACTGTTAGAAAAACAAGCCCGTGTGTTCTTTCGCAAACATTTCCCAAAAGTGAGTCATACCACAGCACACTGCGCACTGTAAATAAAAGTGACATTCCCCGGAAAGGAAAGGCTGAGCAATCCTCCCTATAAAAGGACGGATGGTAGTGAAGGCAAAAACACTGAATTAAAACTCTGGACTCATATAAGTGACTGAAAATGCGTGACGGGCCTTATAAGTGATGTCTGACTTTGCACAAGTCAGACATTACTTATTGACAAGGGCTCTGCAAAGGCTTTTAAAAGTCCGGCACAGAAACAATGTGAAACTGAGACTGCCCTACAAAAGCTGACAGGAGGGGATGAGGATTTTGCAAACGCTGGCACATATTTCACCTTTAATGTCTTTTTTTTTTGTGCCACTTGTCAGGCATGACTGTACAAACAGCGTGTGAACCTGCAGCCTGCAAAAATCTAGTTCAATGTATCTGCTGGGGTACCTTCAACTTGTTCTTCCATAAATAACCAGGAGCTGCCATCAGCAGAGACCAGAATTCTGCCGAGCTAATATCACACACCTAGCGCTGTGCGTCAGGATATCAATAGTCCATACCGTTAATTGCATTTATTTTTTCTGCCTCCATGAAAGCAAACTTGTTTTTTTGGTTTTCTCTAATTGTGCTCCACGGAAATATAACTGCACCAAAGATGCCATAGCGGAGTTTTCCTCCGCCTGGAGGCTCGACTGATCCGCTCCCAGCCGGTTATCATTAGCTTGCGGTGGCGTGACACTTGTTCGGCGTTGTGAGGATCATGCGTCGCAGATGTAGGCACGTTCATTACAATTAGCAGAGCTCACTTTAGGGCATCTGGCACTGACTTACCCCCACCATCGAAGATAAGCCAAGGCTGGCCTTTACCACCTGCTAAGCGCTTTAAAGGAGAGCATGGAACTCAAAGTGTGGGACCATACATAGAGTCCCCATTTCATCCATGATTGTGTGATTCAAACACTGACATTTCTCCCTAAATGAGAAGTACCGTTGTAACAACCCCCCCCCCCCCTCTTCGGCTCACAGAGATACATACCGCACCACTAAGCCCTCCAGTTCTTGACGGTCTGACATCTGGAGAGCAGCTGCCCCAACCTCTCCTCCTCCCTAGTCTAGCCCAACCTCCCCCTCTGGGGAATGAAAGCATTTCTTCGTCTGCAGCTCCACATTCAACACCACTCCACTATTATCCCCCTGCTTTCGCCCCACCCGCCTGAGGAACGCCATCCTAGTCTTTCCAAGTCCTAAATCTAGACTGGCTAAATTATACAGGAGGCATTTCAAGGAACAGAGGCAGAGATAAAAAAGACGAGAGCTCCGAACCCAGCATTTCTTTCGACTGGTGGCGTGTTGATTTTTTCCGTCGTTATAAGTCTCAGAAGATGAAAAGCAAAGCAAAGTGAGGCTCATGGCTGGCTGACTGGCTGTCTCAACAGATGGCGATGTTCTCTTTTTGTCTGGCAGATCTCAGATCGGACCAGTGTTGCAGGAATAGTGACAGAACGGCTAAGGCTGCATGTGTGGTGATGCACTGATCCGACATCTGCCTTCCCACAGACGCACACAAAGGAAGCTAGCATCCAAAAACCGAGACACGGCAGACAACAGATCGCTAACTCGGGATGTGTCTCATTCTATATTCTCGTATTTTGTCTAAACTTGCGACGAGTTCTCAGGGAGTCATGAGTGACTCATGGGCCTCTGGGGACAGCTTGGCAACTTCCAGAAAAACTAGACAGCAGCTGCGTAAAAGCATGCAACTCCTTTGGAGCGCTTTGTAAACACATCACTGTTACTCTCATGCATCTCAGATTCCAGAATCAATACCAGTTACTTGCCAGCGCAGTCTGCAATGAGATGTTTAGCTGCCAGTGAAGCTAAATAAAATTACTGGGCGGCTTTTTTTCGCAGCTTATTGTTTCCACCTTTGTGAGGCCCGTCAAGGTGGGAGTCTGGCGGTCTTTGTGCAGCGACTTAACCTTTCAGCATGACTTTCCTTGAGGTTTTTAGCCTCAATGAAAAACAGATTTCACCCCTTGTGCCTGTCTCGTACGGTTGCCAAGTCTGGAAAACGGGGACAGAGATATACAGAGAGCAGGAAAAACACATAAACTGCCCCGGCGGATTCTATCTTTAGTGCAGAGCTGGGACGGGAACCCTTCTGCTTCCTCTCTCAAGGAAATTTACACCGGCCTGCCCCTTCTTGACTGTGGCTGCATGAGAGAATCTGGAGGTTCTGTTGACAGCACTGCAGTGCAGCAGGAGCGTAATTAACGGCTCACCTCCAGGCAGGAGGAAGAAGAGAAAAGACGGAGACTAAGTGGGAAGTGTCAGGAGTTAGACAGGCAAAAAGATGGCATTGTGGAAAAGACAGTGTGGAAAATGTGTGACTCGGGTTCTGTAAAGTGAATTTCTGGTGGTTGAGATCTAAATAAATATTTGGAGGAAAAAAAAAGAGGAAAAAAACAAAAACAAACTGGTGTGTAAAAACTGGAGGAGGATGTGAAGTGAATGAATGTGGACTTTGTCTGTAAGAGAGAAGCAGATGAAGCCACAGTGGACCTGGACATGCTTAGCTCATCCCTACTAGCATGCACGCCCACTGTTACCCACAGAAAGTCCCAATATTAAAAAGAGAGTCGTGCACATTTTTTAACTTCACGCTGAAAACAGGGTCTCTGGGGATTGTGGTCTCTGGAAAACAGGAAATAGGCTTGTTTTTAAACTATGTACCCACTGGGCAAACATATTCTTACAGCTGGAAAGGAAGATAGATTGTGGGTCACTTGGCCATGTTTTTCTTTAGAAGACTCTTGGGCAGAGTTACTTTGGAACACACTTCAAGGAGACCCCCTTGAGGGGCTTCGGGGGCAAAACAGGAAAACACCAAAGTAGAAATGTTCAAGCTCAAATCTAGCATTCAATCTTGGTTCTGACACAATGGAGACAGAAGCAGTCAGAGAAACATAATGGGACCACAGAGACACTAAAGGGAAGTGAAACAAATGACTTACTGTCAACATGAAAAACTGCACTGCGCTTTGCCCTCAGATAATCACCCGTTTCTATTATATGCACATATCCTGACCTTGTTTTTGCTACAGAACGACACACACATGTAATGGCACATTAGTACGGCAAAGGCCGATGATCCCCGAGACTTCTGCATGACAGATTGCAGGTTTGACTTTTTTAGATTTGTTAACATCATGACTGATGAGGTGCTGCTGAAGGTCTGTCACAGTGTCACACATCTTGTAAATGAACTCAATGTGGAGATGGACACTGCACTCCTAAATGGCAAAGTCAATGCACTTGTACTCTTTTCTAGGTTAAGTGGGCTTTCATTTTTTCTATCGGGAGAAATTTAAGAAGGGAAAAGGGGATATATTCGATCAGTCGCCACTTCAAATGATTTCCCAGCATCATCAAAAGATCCCAGACACTCGTTTTTTTTTTTAAACCAAGTATATCATGTGATCTTCACTATTAAAGAAAAGGTCACAGTGAATGTACACAGTGTGCTCATGTCTTCAAAAACTGTGTGCAACACTACAAATTACACAGGGCCTCTGTGGTCGGGGTACTAATTAAAGGAATGGTTTGACATTTAGGGAAAACTTATGATGTTAGCTGAAAATGAATAGCCTCTAAATGACAACTCTATAAATCTTACTATAATGCAAGATAAACAAGGCAAAAAAAAAGAAACATGATATCATTTGTCACGGAGTAGTCCACACAAACTGCTTTCCTCCCATAAAAAACAAAAGCCATGGTTAAACATGAAAGGGAATAAAAAAGGAACAAAGGATCTACAACCTGGTTCTTAACTGGTTCTGATTCCACCAGCAATCAGCCAAAACGAACCCACCCTCCTGCTAATGAAGACTAGATGCTTTCAGGGATAAATCCTTAAACCCAGACCTGAAAAAAGCTTCTGTCTGCATGTGCTGTGACATGTATGGACGTGTGCATTAGCTCCTCTCTGCTCTGCCCTGTCATTTCAACGTAAATGGAAGAGACACACGCAACACACAGCACTTACAATCAGCTTCTGGCCTCAAATATTCTTGAAAAAAGTCAAAGTGAAGCATTTTACTGCATGTTGAGCAACTTTTTTTAAGAGGTCCAGCTTTCAGGAAATGGAAGAAACATCTTTGAAAACAAAAAGTTCCAACTCGTGTCTCAACAAGGGACAAGTCGTTCCACTACAGTTCCAGAATTTTTACTTCGGTGTAAAAATGAATATTTCCAGTCTGATTATTGGCTTTGGCGAGCTTGTCTTCCCCCGTATTCCTCCCTAAACACAGCTAAGCAAAATTATTTATCCCCTAATGGTTTAAGTTAATTAATAATTCATTTAAAGCTTAAATCATCAGCTCCTTTTAAAGTTTCCCCGTCTGAAAGTGTAAATATTTTGTTAAAGTCAGTGGAGATTTGGCTAACTCGTGGAAGGATTGCAGCTTTGGATCAGTGTTTGGCATAAGTCTTCAAATCTAAATATTCAAACAAAAATGTAAACAACATGCGTTCATTGGGCAAGTGTTTCTTCTTCTTCTTTTTTTTTTTTTTAAGGATTAAACTCCTACCATGCCTTAGGGGCCCAAACAAAATATTTCCAGCATATTTACGGGGCAGTCTTTGCCAGCTTACCTCCGATTGCACTGCACCTGGAGATGATCTCCCACAGAACCAGAGCCATGGAATAAACATCAGCTTGTTTAAAAGACTCGATGTTTTCAAGATTGATCCTGGACTCCAGCACCTCAGGAGCCATGTATCTGGCCGTGCCCACCTGAAGGAAAACAGACAGAGATTTATAAAACTGAAGCCCCTCTATAGAGTGGTGACTGCACCTCTGTTGAGGTGGAACATTTCAGCTGTTATTTACTCACAGGTGGTCATTTGTGTTATTTTGTGCCGTGTGCATTAAAGCGTCACAACCCATTCATCAGAATCAAAATATGATTAATGTAAAGAATAATTGGCAAAACAAAGGCTCCTCTGCACTCACATAATTATTAACCGGGAGAATGTATTCAGCAGAGCTTCCTCCAAATGCATTAAGGACATTACAATGCATTAGGTGTGCTGCACAGCGGCATGATGAGTCATTTTCCCAACAGCGTAATGCGGCTCTGGCCTACTACGCCAGCACACCACGTCCATTAAAAAAGAACCTGCACATCTGTCTTGTGCCTGTACTAAAACTACAAAATGGACATCGACAACACTATTGTCTCAACAAGATTCAAGTAGAGCCAAAACACCAAGTGCCAAATATTTAGAGACAGAGATAAGATTAAATAAAAAAAAGCAAGGTTTGCTTGACAGCATGGCTCTGGAAAATATCTGCAGTGTATCGTAGGGGAGGCCTGCATCCGGGCTGATAGCGCCAGTTCTAAATAAGGATTTACCCAATCCTGATCCCTTACCTGCCCACTGTTGGCCAGCTCATCCACAGACAGAGAGTTGTCCAGCCGGAGCGCGAGGCCAAAGTCACAAAGGCAGCAGGTCAAGTCCTTTTTCACCAGTATGTTGGAGCTCTTAATGTCTCTGTGGGCGATGGGCACCTTGTACCGGCGGCAGGCGGTGTGGTCACTGTGGAGGTGCGCCACCCCGTGGGCCAACGAGCTGCCCAGCAGCCACAGGTCCTGCCAGGTGATGATGTGGTGGATCAGGTACTCTTGGAGGTTTCCCAGCGGCTGGTAGGCGGTGATCAACCAGTACTGTCTCGGCACCTTCCTCTCCTCTGCGGTCAGGAAGTGGAGCACGTTCTCGTGTCTCAGGTCGGCGTCGGAGAAAATCTCCTTCTCGTTCTTCCAGGAGGCGTACTCCTCGTAGGAGAAGATTTTGACGGCGACCGTCTCAAAGCCCTGCTCCTCACTGGCCGGGGAGCAGGGCTGCTTCAGCTTGGCCTTGTAGACCTCGGCGAAGCGGCCTTTTCCGACCAGGGCGTCCAGCTCGATGGGCAGCAGCTCGGTGTTGTGGTTGAGGTTGTTGGCGTGCGTGGAGCTGCTGTCGGAGTTCTCCTCGTCGATGATGATGGCGCGAGCGTCGCTGAAGTCCAGCGGAGGACCCTTCTTACGTTTGGAGTGGGCCTGGCGCTGGCGGTAGACCCGATAGACGTAGAAGGAGGTGATGACCACCACCGCCAAAACCACCAGAGGCACCAGGCTGACCAAGACCACAGACATCACCTGGGAGTACATGTCTGAAAGACCAAAAGCCAAAGGACAGAGAGGGGGAGAGGTTAAATATCACCAAATCTGTAACAACGCAATGAAGACGCATTGAGCATTCGTGATCCCTACGTCCATATGGACATTCCTAACAAAAATAAATACACACTCAACTGCAACATCCCAACTCTGTGACTGGTATTTGGACCCTTTGGAACAATGAATGAATGAATGCATGAATGTATTACTGTATGGCAACAAAGACATCTTTTTAATCACAGTAAGTTCAACGAAAGAAGCAGATGTGTAAAAATCACAATAACCCAAATAAACAACGACAAATGACAACTAATCTGCTGTCCATGTTTCTGACATCACAGTGAAAGTTCTCTCCAACCGAAAATCACTTTACAACAAATAGATTGCAACAAATTTTTAGACCAAGAGGCAATAAATCTTCCCAAAGGGAAAAAAACTAAAACAAAAAAAAAACACAGAAGGGGGGACACTTATAAGAAGACATCTATATGGACTACAGCATATGAGTCTTTGAAATCTCCAAACCAGAAAAAAAGATGGTGTCAACTAAAAAACTGGACTGTGTGGGAAAGCTCACCTGTCTCACAAAAGTCACATAAAACGTACACAATTACATCCTGTCATTTGCAGTTCCGTTGAAACGGAAGCCGTCCCACATGTCGGGGGGTAACTGAAGAAGCCATTGATGCCTGTTGGGTTTCCTTATTGTCTGACTTTCTGTGCATGAAACGGTCTGTGAAATGAAGGAAATCGCTCAGCTGCCTGCTCCTAAACCCCCCTGAAGTTCAGATACACACCGAGGAAAAGCCAGAAAACCAAATAGTGACCAGACAACATAGACTCAACTTATAAAATAAAACAATAAATACATTTTTAGAAAAACTCAGAAAGTGTTTTTTTAAATATATTAAAGCGTGTGAACCTGCCTTTGCAGCCAAAAAGGGCTCTTGAAATGTAATCGTTCAATTATTTGTGCTACTGTCATAAATGTATGTCACGGCTTTTCTTTGAAGATATAATACAGAAGATAGAGCTTTACAGAAGTAACAAACAGAACGTCAGCTCGTAAATGTTTTGTTGAACCCTGATTACAGTCATTACTGGCAAGTCCCGTTAATTTAACTCATTATGGCTCGTTTTCATTGCAATAAAGCTGCATTTTCACATCCATACACCACTCATTTTGTGATGGATGCAGAGCAAAAGAAAGGAGGTAAGACCTTTTATGATTTGCAAACCTTGGAATTTTCATCCTGTCTGTTGCTTTACTTTTCCTCTCTCCACATATCACTTTTTTTTTTGTATCACATTTTTTAAAACCATAGTCATTAAACTGTTTGTTTCTCCAAATGTAAAGAACGACCATTCAGATGACTCTGTATCAACCTTTCACAAGAAGTAGGGTAATATTCCTGGAACAGCAGAGGAACTGGCCCTCCCCTGAGGAATGTCTATAAGAATCAGAAACCTTAAGTTAGCGTCTGGACCACAAAAGTAAAAACTGCTCCAAACCCTGACCCAGTCAACCACATATTGTGTCTCTTTATAGGGCATGTCTGATTCTATAAATGTAGATGTCTATGCATCTGACAGCTGCTGCGATGCTTATGGCAAACAGTGAAAGTTCAGTGTTTTTAACTTGTGGCCATAAAAACATAAAAAAAGTGTCACTAAATCTGTAAATCTCTGTAAACAAGAAAAGGCAACATGTCCTCAGCTAATCTTAAACGCTGCCCGTGTTTTAATTAACAACGAGCAACTTAGTTTTTCTTAATTCGAAATATCCAATCATTTCTGCTGAATCCTGTCTGGAGCCTCAAAATATGTGGTAATATCTTTCAGATAATAACTGGCAACAAAGTGGTTTTGGAGGTCAGTGTAGATGTAAGAAGAGAAGGCAGGTTGAAACAAGGGAGGAGGACGAATGCAGAAGTCATCTAGCCGCTGCCCAGTCAAGCCCACTGCTACTCCATAATTTTTTTTTTTTCTAAACAGGAAACCACATGTCTGAAATCCTGTGCAGGGCCCCAGCCAGACAGTTTGTTTTGATTTTTGCAGAGTGAGAAGCTATTTCACACAACAAACCTGTCACTGTGCCTCCTGGACTGAAACAGAAAGCTTTGGGCAAATCTAGGAAGTTGTGTGAAAAGTTATATGTTCTCCAATAATTTTAAGGAACAGAAATTCTGTTTAAAACCTTTAAATTTGTAATTATTCATTTATTGCTTAATCTTAACGGAGTTCTTTAAAGGGATGTAGTAACGTTTGAGATATCAGCCCATTTGCTTTTTACAGAAAATGCGAGGAGATGATTCATACCGTTCTTAAATCAGAGCTACACACAAATTACTACTTTGCCCTTAGAAATAATCAACTACATGTTAGCAAAGCCCATGCTAGTAAGCTACATGCGGACGCTAGTAGTTTGCTTTTGAATTGGCCCAGCGAGTTCTTCTGCTACTTTTCGATTTTGGAGAAAAAGGGTTAAAGCATTTGCTGTCAAACAGAGATATGCTGGTTCATATTTGTTCACCGGTTCCACAAGAGAAGACCCTCTTCCAGCCACACGCTAAGCTAAAAGATTAACATGATACTCATATTCTCCACCAGTACTAAGAAATAACACAAATGCACTTTTTAAAACTTTTCCAACAGTTTTTGAAAATATATGTAAACTTGTATGGTTAAAAGATCCCATCGCCTAATTAATTAGCTGGCAATTGTTCTTCCAGAAAACAAAACACTGTTTTATTATTCAGGTATTGTTGCAACACTGAGAACGAAAGTCAAGCATGTTCTGCAATGGTTCAATGCTTATTAGTAACAAAATGAGGATGATTCACTTGAATTTACCGGTAATCTTGTGGCTTGTATTTCATCCGGAGTGCCTTTGTTGCCACCCTGTCCCAGTTTTCTGAGAAAGTTGACTAAGAACTTAAAGACACTGCACAGACATTCTCAAGAGTGTGCGAATGCATTTCCATGACGTGGTTTGTACTGTGCAGATGCTTCCAATTTGGCTCGCCGGTCAGAGCCAGGTCTCGGAAATGTACCTCAGTGTTATTATTGAAGGGATGCTGCAGTCAAAATACATCTGATTCAAGGGCCAATGTTGTAACCGGAGTCTCCGAGCCAATGTCTCCTAGATCTGTTTGTAATCATGGATCTGGAGAGCATCAGGGTGCACACATGTAAGCGTTGGTGCATGACGCCTTACATGACATGCGCATTGATACGGACTAAACAGGGTCAGTGATGTGATGATGCTAGATTTAGCCGATTTATGGAACATAACGTTCCACTTTTTACAATTTAAAAACTTGGCCTTGTGGGTGTATCAACGCTTTGTACATCTTACATCTGTGCCGGGTGACATCATTAAATAAAGGATGAAGGGATGTAATGTGTGATGTGTACGGTTTGATGCCAGGCAATGAACTCATTGAAAATCATTACCAGACGCTGCAGCTCTGAGGAGTGCTTTGCTTGTTTTAGCTAATTGTTTAGGTTTTACAGCTTGCAATTTTACTGTTTTGGTTTAATCTCACTGCTCTCGTCAAAATTATTTCCACTCACATCAGGGAGCTTTTTTCAACATGCTCCGATGAACCACTGAGGAATCAAATTGTCGACATAGAGGCTGTGTTTAGACAAGCTGGGGAGCATTACTGAGCATTGGACCTTAGAAAACCAGATTTATGTTTCATAAATGGGGGGGGAATGGTGAATGCATCAGAGAGGAACTAAAGAGGCGTAAATCTCCAGAAGAAAATCACTTATAAAAAGATTGAAATCGTGCAAGAGTTCCACTGAATCTGCTGGATGTTCAAATGCCAACGTGCTTACATGGCAATTTCATGTAAACCAAGGAGGGAAGTTACTTACTTGCATTAAAGATGACCTGCTGGTTGCACTCATCCTCGTCACAGGAACAGATGAAGAACTCGGAGCCCATGCCCTTTCTCTCCTTCATTTCGCACTTGGTGCTGTTGTAGTCGTCCAGGACCAGGCCGTACAGCTTCTGAGCCGGGTTGTGGCACACGGTATCAAAGGTGACATTGTCATCTTTCTTTCTCCTGAGAGAGAAAAGAAAAAAAAAAACAGAAAATACTTTATAAAATGGTGAGGTCTGATTTTTGTCCTTGGCTTGTGATTCAGAAGACCATCCAGTTTGAAATATCTGGATTTTCACTTGCACACTGTGCAAACAACACAATTTCCAGCAGCGTGGCGGCTGAGCGGGAGCTGTGAAAGTCCCATTAGTCTCTTTGAGCAGCCGGCAGCCTACGTTTTATGTAAATGACAGCAGCATCAAGGTCAAAGGCTCAAACAGAGAGAGCCATTTACAAACAGGGGGAAAAGGGAAATACCTGATTCTGCACAAATTTGCATATTCATATTTTTGGGTTCCTGCTGAGCGGTGCTGGCTTTGTGATTCCGAGAGACATTTTAAAGAGGCGCTGCTGTCCGTGAGCCATTAGCTTTCTGCTAACCTCAGCTCACAACGCGCCGGCTACATCGTGAATGTAATGAAAAACAGCAGCCCGGCCTTAAGCTTTTAACACCAGCACAAATCTGCTTCCTGCTGCTTCTCCCGTTCGGACTCAGACGTGAGGCCGACCAACGGTTAGGCGCTCGCACTCATGTTTCGACCACCTGTCGCCAGCAGAATGCAGACCGACGAGGCATTTGAAGGGAAAGGTCACTCCAACCGAGCAACAAGTTCTTAAAGGGAGGAAGTGATTAGCAAACAGAACTGCTCTTTGTTCTTTCCTTCTCCTGCTATTTTCTTTATCCCCAAAGGACGGTTTGAGAGAGTGAAAGTGTAACACAAACCTGCTCCACTTACTAGATTTCCTCAAGAATTAATTTGTGTCAAAAACATCAAATCGACGGAAATGAGGACAGGCGGGAGTAAGGTTCCTATAGCTCCACTTACCAAATGCTGACACACACGTCGTCTTCGTGGGGGCAGATAGAAGTGATGCCACACTCCACCGGGCAGCTCCACTTCCCCGTGCAGTTGGTGGGCTGCACATCGCAAAACTTGCAGAGCCGCCTTTGCTTCATGATATAGGCATCTGGAGTCAGAAAGGGAAAGTAAAAAAAGAGCCACATTAAGCTGAGCGAAGGCAAAAGAAACGCGGAACACGCGGTCGGCTCACTTCCTTTCATGTAACTGGAGGCTTTAGGCAGCCGGTACAGACGACCAGTGGAAGGAATTCATGTGATACCTCTGAGCTTTCAAAGTAATGAACCCCGATATTTAATTGAAGGATGAAATCTCTTGGAATTTGCTTGGAACTAACAGCTTCTCTTCAACACGACCACAAGAAAAATCCTAAGCATTTCACCCAAAAGGGGGTGGAGACATTTTTTCCTGTGAAGTCCTCCTCCGGTCTTGTCCAGACTTGACTTTGCCAGCAGGCAAAGGCATATCAGTGAGACAGACTGGATTGTGCGCTGAGTGCCTGTGGGTTTGATAATCACCTCGGGAGACAACTGCCAGACAGGCAGGAACAACAAACAAAGGAAAACAGAGATGCCTCTTCCTGCCAAAGGGTCTCCCATTTGTCATCCCCGACGAGTCGGCTGGCCTTATAGAAAAAAAGGTGCCGCGCCAACGCCGATCAGGAAAGAGAATGAGATGACTCATCAGTGCTTGTGACTGACTCAAAAGTGGAGAATGCTTTTCGAGAGCTTTATTTGTCCTCAAAGTCCCACACAGCGGCAGCGGCTTTGAGGCCTTCAGTGATAAAAATCAGCAAATAGGCACGCTCTGTTGAGAATGGAGAGGAGAGGGAGCCAGAAGACGATGAATAACTTATTTTAGTTCTCTGCTTAAAGATAAAGAGAGACAACCCACCTAAAAAAAAACGTAATAAAATGCTCAGGAACAATCTTGCGTAAATGGTTGAATCAGTATGGGGCGGAAAAAATGTTTTTCTGAAAATCCCCCTCACGTCAGGATAAGATTAGCCTGCACAAGTCTACACAGCTTACACCTACACGGTTTAATCAAGATGATGTTCGGTGAAGCCGTTTGCTGAGAGCGCGTGAACGAGAAAGCGAAGGAGGATTGGAAAAGAGATAATGGCCCCCACAGAGACGGCGTGAAACTGCACTACTTTCTCATCTGTCGGCTGGGAAATAACGTAGACTGACAGTGAAAACAGAGAAGAAAAAAAGAAACAAAGCAAAGGGGGAAAAAAACAAAACCAGACTGCGTTTGTACAGTAAAAACCGCACAACAGCTGCAACCTGCACAGGAAGTAGAACCTGTTACTGTCAGGCTCTCAGCTCCGAGGCAACGCTGAGAAAAAGTGGCCTGTTTCCAGCAAAGCGCGCAGGCGTTTCTGCACAGTTTCTCTGAGGCGTTTCTCCGGAGCGCAGCGCGCCGTTTGCCGGCGGATGCGTGTGCGTCAGGCGCATCCTGCTGTGCGTAAAAGTTGTGCCGTGGAGGAGCAGAGAATCCGGCCCACGGCACCTCAGAGGCATCGTGTTCCAGCATCTCCTCAGCCGGAAGCGCAGTGGGACGCGTTAAAGTGAAGGATCAACTCCCCCACCCGCTCACAAATCAAAGGATCAAAACATATATATATATATTGCACTTGAAATCCAGACAAAACTAAATGATAGAGCAATTTAAAGTCGTGCCCAGAGGGTTTTCAGATGCATTTTGAAGTAAACCAACAGTGAAGGGGAGGGGGCAGTCCGGTGTTGGAAGGTGCCTGAGCAGAGTAATTATATCATTAGAGTAGCTGCTCTCAGAGAGCATGCCATTTAAACCCAGGAGGCGGGTGGTGGAAGGGATGAATGGTAGTAATTGTCACTCAGGGCTACACATAATTGTAGAGAGGGGGTACAGGGGGATTAAGAGGAGCCCAAACCACTTGGTGCCGTTAGGACTGAGAGTGAGATAGATGGAGGTAAGTAAGCACCGTCTTCCTCAGTGGGGGGTTCAAGACCTGACAGCAACTAAAAGGGGGCTGCAACTCACAGCAGCTTATTCCGAGGTGGCGTTCAAGTCCTCCCCACTGCGAAACTTTAAGTCATTTTGTGTTTATTCCGACGCGTTTAAAGCCCCGAGACGTGTTCACGCGAGACGTTTGCTTCCTTATAGGTTGGTGTTATAGTCAATAAACCCATTCCCTGAGCCCTGAGTCAAACAAAACCACGATAATAAAAAACAAACGGCCCCATTTCCACCCAGCTGTCACACCGTGGCGTTTGGAAAAAGCGGCTGAAAGTTTTTCCAGCCCCAGTCGCGCCGCGTTCAGGGGCTTCTGACAAGTTTTTTAAGAAGTTGAAGAGTGGAACTCACCCGCCGCCTCGGGCAGAAAACTGCCAAAGAGTATCGCTCCCCACCAAAAAGCGGAAAGCCGAAGTAGCTCCATGTCGACCCGGACAGGACTCGCCCCTCTTTTCTCATCAACTTGACCGACGGCCGCGGGTTTGTTTTCCGGGACTCGGCGGACTTCGCTCCGTCCGCCTGTTGCTCCTTTTGCGCGTCCTCACAGGAGAGCAGGAGCAGGGCACACACCGCGGGCAGGACTGGCCCTATATGACTCACTCTGTGCGCGCTTTCAGCGAGACAGGAAATCTTCTGAGGGGTTGGACAACATTTTTTTTTTTTTTTTTTTGCCTCTGCTCAGTTGTGATCATGTGGCTCCCTGAGACTCCAACCATGTCATTAAGGAGAGCCAGCAAGGCAAGACTTGAAATTACACCAAAAACGACTTAAGCAGAGGCTTCACCTACAATACAGGTTACATGTAGGCTATATATGCAAACTCCCAGAGTTACTAGTTAGTTACTGGTGAAGAGTCACACAGTCGCTTACAGACCCTTCGGCTCGTAAACTGAACTGAATTCTGCTCACATTTAAGCCTGGTATCATCATTTTCACAGAGATTTGTGGACACATTAAACTACCTTCCGTGTTGAAATGGTATTCCTTTGCTATAGGCTTTCCTGGAGAGGTTCAACACTGGAGAGGTTCGGGAAAAGAGCAGGAAGAGTCTGTCCACATCTCATGCCTTTCTTTTTTTTTCTAGGACACACAGGGGTTAAGTCCACTGTAACAGCCATGAATCAGCCCTCTATAGCCGGGGCTCTGCAGACACGTGTTTTTGCTCTGCGTGCTCAAGCCATGATGTCAAGTTTCAGTTCTGACCCCCTGACCCCCCCCCCCCCCCCCCCCAAACTCTCCACCCCTCCCCACCCCCCCCCCCCCCCCCCCCCCCCAGCTCATAACTCTTCACACAGGACTAGCTCTCCCTCTACCTCCAGCCTACCCTGCCATCTACCCTCAGCCTGCTCCGCTGCTTCTGCTGGGACCTTTTTTCAATGCTGATTCAGAGCGGAAAAGGGAAAGAAGAACTTGTGTGAAACTTGGCACGTTTTTAAAAAAAGAAATGAAAATGGCCAGTTCAGCATACTTGTGCGTAATTTCATTTGCAGGTTTGTGAAAAGTGTGACAGACTTTGAAAAACTCCAAGGGATATTTTTTAGGTTGTTTTTCTTTTAAAAATGATTATTCCCAGTTAGCTGACCTCATTCCCTTTCTGCTTTTGGCTCTCAGCAACTGGGTGTGGATGGTTGTGTTAGTGTCTGTGTGTGTTTTGTGTGGGACTAAACGCCAATGCGGGCCTTCGGCACTGCGTAGTGGAAGCCAAACCACAAGGTGGAGATCCGGCAGCGCTTAGAGCGCAGATCGGCCATTCCCCACTGACCTCAGCACATGTGAGGGTCACAACATCCTGCTGACTGACCACGACATCCAAAACCCCCTCTGTAAAAGTATATATACCCAGCTTTATAGCCGTATCTGAGTCGGCTCAGCAGGACACCCGGACAGCACTCCAGTGTGCCCATGGAGGTTTGTGTAAACACCATCTCGGTTACCTCACATGCCTCTCTCTGTTACTTTCAGCTTCCTCTCTTGCACAAGTCTCTCAGTGTTTCCCTCTGCCTTTGAACGTTTTTTTTTTTTTTTTCTATCTCATTGCACAAACCCAGATAAACAAGCACCAGGCAAACATCCTGAGCGGTATTATGCTCAATGGCAGGTGCTTGGCGTTTCTATAAACTGTTTTGGTCAAGTGGAAAGGCAAACGGAGCGGCCTGACGATAAACCTCTGGACTCGTGCTTTAAGATAACACAACGCGGCAAACAGGCATTACAGCCCCGATGCCTTCACAGACATCAGTATCTTTCCACTTTACTAAACTTCTTAGCAGGAGAAGTCATTGTACTAAATGGGTGGCTTTTTTTCCATGCGTCCGTTTGCCGTACAGGCGCCGAGTGCCAGCGTCTCTCTGGGAAAATGTGTGTTGAAAGAGGTGAAGAGGACAGAAACCCAGTCACAGAAGACAGAATAAAATAGATAAACTTCATTTGACGCTAGCTAAAAGCGTTGCAGTGGCAGGAATCCAGATAGATGTAAAGCAGTATCTGATATGAGCACGTAGAGGCAAGCGTCCGACAAGGGACAAATAAAAACCCGAGACTGTATATGTTCACACATACCGGTGAGGTAATGGGAAACAGAGGGCATGTGTGGTAAATATTAACTCAAACCAGGTGAGAGCCACACACTGCAGGCTGAGGGCGTAGAGGTGAACCTGCGGCCCTACTGTTCATATTCATTGTTTTTCTTTTTCTACAATAATAAAACATAACTAGGTCCTTCCTTCTCCCTGAATGCTAAACTCAGGAACTTAAAGGCCATCATTGTCGTCAGAGCTCAAAAAGGAAGAAAATCTTTCAACAAAAGAGTCAGCCCGCCTTAGAGAAGCACCGTTTCCAGGCATCTTTATAAGAAGTGGCCTTTTCAAGCCACCTTCAATGGAACCGAAGGGGATGAAACATATTTTACTCCTCAAGGTATATGGGGCTTTTATCTGGGTAAATTCAGACCCAAATCACAACGAGGTTTAACTACTGACGAGGACTGATTCTGAAGGAGTCCCACAAGTCTTTATTATTATTTGCATTTGATTGAACAACACTGTTGTGTTCAAGGTGCCTGCCTGCTCTGCCGGTGTTACTGATATACAAGACATGTTTTCAGCTTTTTTTCCCACATTTAAAGTGCTCCTTTTAGATGCCGGTCTACAAGGTCTACGATCCTTTAGACGCAGAGAGCTCACTTCATCTCTGAAAGCATAAGGAGTCAGACTGCTGAAAGCACAGTATAGTGTAGCTTTTAAGGGCCTTCTAAGGGCTTCAGATGAGTGAAGGCACTGTAAAGTAAGAAGCAGAGACAGAAAAGCGATATCAAGGTATAAAGTGAAGGGGGGAAAGGAGAAAAAGTGCACCTAAACAAGTAAGCAGAGCCCATCTGATCTGGTCAAGATGCTGCCCGGATAATTGGCTGTGTCAGGGTTTGAAAGTCTCCGGAGTCCTTCACAGTGCAGAACTTCAGAGGGTGCAAAGTCTTCACATGCAAGCTTTTACTCCGGTGTCTCTATCTATCTAAAGGATGCAGTGTACCAATTAACAAAAAGTATTGTTTTTGATGAAGAAAAAATAATGACTTATGCATTTATTTGCCGAAAAAACAACATTGTATTCAGGCTAGAATGCTGATGAACGTGTTCAAATCTTGAAACACACACCACAAATGTCCATGTTTGTAGTTGAACTAGTGAAAAAGTCACTGGGGAAAGTTAAATGTCTGTCCAAAATCATTAAAAGCCATCTTAAGACAAAAGTCACCACTTGAACAACATCATTCCAACGGTTTGACATCTAGAAAAGATTTTATCATTCTTAAACACGCAACTTGCAAGAGAAATGTGACTAAGGCTAGCATGCACACAAACCCACAGACGTGCAAAACTCCGCTTCAGATAGGGTATAAAACCCCACACTTTCAGTTTGCAGCACTTTGCCGCATTTTCTGGAAGTCTGATTTAAACATTACATGCGTGGGGCTTTGTGTGCACTTTCAGGCAAACGCAGCTAGCATCAGAGACACAGTTCCATTGTGACACGTGGTAGCACACACTCCTACACAGTACCGTTCTCTCGGTGTCACAACAGCCTTCCTCTGTTTTTTCTCCCACCACTCGTCTCCCAGCTTTAGTCAGACACTGTGTAGGAAGGGAGGCTTTATTCTAAAAAGCCCCAAAGGTTACAACCTTCGGTATCGCAACACTTTTCAGGGTATTGTTCTCAGGCGCAGAATGAATAGGTGTCCGAAACTTTGCCAAGACTTTTTTTTAAAAGAAAGAATACATCATGGGGGGAAGCCAACATGAGAACAAATACTGCAGCATGTGACTCCCCTCTCTGTGTGTGACATCCTGTTTCTGGTGTGGTGAAGCAAAATATGTCAGGCCCAACGAGATAATTCTAAATTTACCCAGCATGTTCACGCTTGTGCGCACACATTTTGTTTATAATGTACTATTATCGACACTCTATCAATGCTATGAGTATAGGAGAGGACCCAAAATGTCGTTTTTCTGCTGAAAACCTGGACACCTTTGATTAAAAAAAGGATCCCCGTAGCTGGGAATACTGTTTGCAGGCCTTCTCCAGGCATAAAACATGTTACTCACCGAGAGTCTCCACAATGATTTAGCTTCAAGTGGAGTCCCTGCAGTGTAGGGTTAAACTGTATCGAGGCTCACACTGTTATTGGTCCCCAGCTTGCAACTACTTCTGTGGTTCAGCAGAGCAGAGAGAAAATGATGGAAATGATGGTCAGGCCATTCACCGAGCCCAGATTACAGGGCGCAGACAATTTAAGCAAAGAGGGGGAAGATTTAGTGGCTCTGCCACTGATAAATGTTTCGATATGGCTCCCTAATGTGGCAGAGGATATACACAAATGTAATCGGGGTCTCTTATGCTGTGAGGGAGTAAATGCAGTAAATCAAAGAATTTCATGCATACTAAACAGGACACACAAGGCACAGTGTGTGGTCTCTGGATTGATGAGAGCAGGAATAAAATTCTGCATGCTGGCAGAGACGGACTGCAGAGAAGTTAATGTCTTGATCTTGCGGTAAATATTGAAATAAACTTGAAATAAAGATCTTTTTTCCGAGCCAGCATATTTGCGGCTTTAAGCACATTTCGTGTCATTCGAAGAAAGTCTTACCTTCGTAACAAAACAAACAGGCTGCACCCCCCCCCCCCCTTTCCCTGGAAAAAAAATTAATCCACCTCAGATCAGTAGATGAAACTAAGATTAACTTAGCGAAAGGAAAAAAACTAGAATGTGCAATTAAATCAAACCTACAAAGTAGGAGCCTTGTAATGTGGATTTTTTTTATGTGTTCATAGAAATAAATAAAAAACAAGGTTTTTTTCCCCCCCAGCTGACACAAGTCCATGCTGAGGGAATTAAGGAATGTTCACTTGACTAAAATACTTTAGCGTTCGCCTGTTGCAGCTGATGCTGATAAGCTTCTCGCGCTGTCTGACAGCTGTCAACAACACAGCAATTGGCACAACGCCGGTCCGAAATAGAAACGTGGTGTGGTGTGATACGGTGTCACGCTGCGCTGTGTGAAAATAACACGCAGACGTTTCTCAACTTCAGCAGATCTCAGAGCTGCGAGCAG